AAAAAAAAAAAGAACAATAAGAAAGGCGATTAATACACTCTCATTCTCAAGCATCATTGTAATCTGCTTAAAACGTTAGAACGATGATAACAGTGCTTAATACAATACTAGAGTACAGCGTGGGTTCTAATCGTTGAGTTACAAAAACTAATTTCTTCAACCGATATTTCTCTTCCACGATACTCGTTCTAGTACTATACTACACACTTCCCAGTATTTCTATTTGACACATCGTTTTGCTGTTCAAATTCCTTTTCGTATTGAAGTATAATATATTTGTATTATACACTTAAATAGCCGTTTTCTTTGAGATTTGCTCTTTTTTAAAAAGTTTTCCACCGAAATAGCTTTTCTTTGTTATTTTGCTTCTTATTTTTTACAAATATTTTCGGAATGTATCTCTATGTGTAAATAGGGTGAAAAACGTATGGTAATGAGCACGTGCAAGTTATGAACGTGCAGTAACATTGAAATGGCTTCCACTTGTTGTTTTCAAATTTATCCAGTCACAACGCATTGTCTAGAGTATGGTAAAATTACCTTAAGGATTGTGTAAGATGGCAATAGGAAGTTGCCATATCATACCCAATACATTAAAAAATTTTTGATTGCGACACTGAAATGGTTTCTCATCTAACTAGTTTTTTTTTTTTTTTTTTTTTTTTTTTTTTTTTTTTTTTTTTGGTTTTTAACTGATCAAATTGCATCACATATCATCAAAGTTAACTTAGTCTTCACGTATTAAGAACGAAGTGGCTGTATTTTCCATTTCTGTATTTTCACAGACATGAAATAAATTATATTTTTTAAACCCGTTTTAACCTCGAAATGGCTTTCCACAAAAATGCACCCTTTTTTTCTACGTAAAACAAACCACTTTTTTTTGTCGGGGATATCTATACGATTTAAGAAAGGCAATCCTTTGTCTTTTCAAACAATGCTACTGGTATTAAATTCATAAATTCTATTAGTTAAACGCGCAATGACATCGAAATGGCTTTCCACAAAAATTTATTATTTTTTCGTACGAAAGAAACTACATCGCTGTCCGGGGATGTAATATAAGATGGGCCACTCTATGGCTTATCAAACCGATGAAGCTATTTATATTGCTAAAACTCCAGAACAAAATCCGACAAACGTTTTTAAGATAAATTACTAGAATTATAAGCTTTGTGAGCCGAGGAAGTTTAAAAAGTGGATTTGTCACACCGGTGGTCTGATACAAAGACTCTTTAGGATGTGGAAACGACTCGATCAAACGAGCTGATATTCGCTTGTTCTTGTTAGTAAAATTACTTGAGACATGTTTTTGAATGGATACAAACAGAGATGCGAGGAAAAGATAGAAAATGCCCCCCGAGTCTTGAGAATAAGATTAAACTGATCGTTAATACTTCGATAAACATTCATTCATTTGGGTTCAAACTGTTCTATTAAATAAGAATAAAGTTAGGGTCACTGGTATTATATTCGTATATACATGCTAATGTTAAAACGGTCTTCAGCCACCTTATAAAAATTGTTTGCACCATTTTTTTGTTGTTTATAAGAAAGATTTCCTCTAGAAAAGTGATTCTTTAGAAGCCTTACCCCGCGCTCTTTATATATCTTGGCATTATCTAGAGATATCGGAACCAACTTGTGCAGACTAACTAAACCGTTCTAACTACTAATAATTAACGCTATTCTCGGCCTGCCGTCAAAAGGAAAAAGCCATACTGACAATCTGTCAAAATATGACAGGAAAAAAATATATTTATTGAAGCTAATGTTGTCAGAAACACACAAAAAATGTAGCTGTGAAATCCTGCATGATTAGAGTGAGTCATAGCTAAATATATTTTTGACCAGAAGGAAAGGTTTTAAGAATTATTATGAGACTTGTGGTAGAGATATTAATGTAAGTGGCTCTTAAACTATTGAACCAAGCTCTTAAACTACTCAACACTTAAGCGACTTCATATTTGATCTTTTGGGAATACTGCATTGGAGCTTATCGAGATATGGTTGACAAAAACGAGATGTTTTTAATAAAATGAATACAAGAATAAACGATTCACAATGTAAAAAAATATGAATCCATTCCCTATTCCCAGTGACCTTAGTTACCGATCTTAGTGATGATTGGAGAAATCCCATATTGGAGATTCTATTTCCCATTCCCACTGACCTAAATTCAGTGGTCCTAGTAACGAACCTTGGGGCAATCCCATATTGGTGATTCCATTTCTTATTCTCAGTGACCTAAACCCGGTCCCAGTGATGAGCCTTGGGGCAATCCCATATTGGTGATTCTATTTTCCATTAACCGTGACCAGAGTCCCAGCATAAGCAAAAGTAATTTCCTATAAAATCAATGAAAGCTAAATTTTCATATATTCTATTCACCAGAAACTCATATATTTATGATTTTGCATAAGAATGAAAGTCATTAACATAACATCTGTTGTCCAATAACATTGCACTCTCTCTTATCAACTGGACCGTTTTTCTAGAATATTCTTCTCTACGTAAAAGCTAAAGTCATTAACATAACACCTGTTGTCCAATAACATAGCTCTCTCTCTCTCTCTAGTCAAACAGGACCATATTTTTCTAGAATATTCTACTCTGCATAAAAACTTAAGTCATCAACATAACACCTGCTGTCCAATAACATAGCTCTCTCTCAAGTCAACTGGACCATTTTCTGGAATATTCTACTACTAGGAAAAGATAAATGTGTTTTAACTTCTAATTTGACGTTTTGTCTTTTCTAAAAAGAAAAATTATAACTAACGATAAGAGGAGTTCAGTGAATTGGCGGAAATTCAATCAATACGAAATGGAAAGAAATAGTGTTATTCTATCTTGATTAATTTTTCTGATGGTTGTTGGGGATTTTTTAAAAGTGGTTCTTATAAGAAATATAACGGCACCTGAAGGATTCATAAATGAACGAGGAAGTTAAAGATAGCAACGATAAAAGATACAAGCTCCACTAGTTAACTTCACTTGATACTGACAAATGACGATGTCGAAATGTTGCAATATTTTTGCGTTTATCTTTCTAACAAACAAAATAAATAAATAAAATAAATAAATAAATAAATGAATAAATAAAATAGGGAATTCTAGACGTTCCATGCAGTATGCATTATTATAGAGTCTATCACCCTTCTGACGATATTCACAGTACTGATTCTACATGAGGTAAGATGTTGAATAACCCGAAAGGATTTATATTTTGAGTGCGGCTTCTTGAAGTTATAATGTTTTTTCCATGCCATTTACTAATGCTGTGACGTATGTAAGGAAGCATTTATGGTTATTTGTTGTTCCTCGTAATTCGAAACACCGGCTTCTATGTGAAAACTAACTTGCAATAATTTCTATAAGAGCAGTGGGAAAAACAACGACGTATTTCAAATTTAATTTATCTGTACCATTAATGTTTTGTATATAAATGATTACTCCTCATACGCCACAGCATAAGTATAATATGTAAATAAATAAACCTTATTACCGACCTCCGATCGCTCTAATGCTATAGTCTCATCTTACTATATTTAAACTTTACCTTCTGTTAATTGAGACAACATAAGTAACACCACCCTGCATTAAACAATTGAGCATCTTCCACCAAGTATTAAACTCCAAATTTGCACCTCATAATCTACTTTTTTTCAAATACATGTATACTCTTGGCGTTTGGGGTAGTTGTGTCACCGGTAGTGAGGGGTAAGGCATGAGCATGTTGCACGTTGCAAATTAAATTTTTAGGCTGAAGTTCAATATTTGCGAAAGAGCTTAAGCATATTGTCTATGTACTGTCCTTGATATTTGCTAATATTTGCTCAAGGCAGGGTTACGTTCGACTCTTGTATACACAATCACTTCAATCTATAAGCCCTTGGAGCCTAGATCAGATAACTGAATATGATTACTCTGGGTGAGCTACGACTGGATGATCAAGGAAGATTCGTAAATGTTTTTTCGATATCAATGAATGAATAGATATGAAGATTTCGTGAAAATTTTATAACTGTTAAACGAAATGCTCCGACCTCTGTCCCCCTCACCCCTCCCCCCCTTGAGATACATGACGCCCATCATTAGCTTATGGACAAAACTGCGACAGAAATTCTAACAAGCGACAGTAGATTTATAGAGAAAGAGCCTCCAATAGCATGCTCAACGCAATTGAAGAACTAATTTTCGAGCTTCGTCTATAGGAGCTTTAAACTAATTGTTATAATTTCTAGAAGCCTTGCCGAGAACCCAATAAAACACTTTCCCTCGACATTCTGATCCTTCAATTCCACTTCTCCGGCCAATTATACTTTAGCTTTTCTCTCGTGAGCGAAAAGCAAAATGTCATAAAGATGAAATTTTAAGGGTTAACGTTTCCAGTTAATGAGATGTTTAGGCTAGCAGAGCTACCGAAAATCCTTAGCTTACTTAGATACTTCATAATCTATTATCATTTAAAAAATCCGCTTTGCTGTTGGCTCCTAGGCGACGCCACATCAATGAATAACGTCTAAGTGCAAATGTTTTTTTCTTTTCTTTTCTTTTCTTTTCTTTTCTTTTTTTTCGGAAGTTTCGTTTGGAACGAAAAAAAACCCTAATTTTATTAAATTCCATTAACACGAATTAAAGCCTGTAGACCAGAAAAACACATCTACAAAATAGGCTAATATTTTTGTGGTTAAAAATGGTTAAGTATTGTTCAAAAAGAGTTTAAAAACAAAACATAAATGCAACGGTTTATACGATCACACTTCACGACAATCTTGCTCATGCTCCGGCCTCTAGATAGTAGATGGACAGTTGATATCCAAAGTACTTTCTTTCTGAGTCATTCCTGAAATTATCGCTCAGGGAAAAGAGATAATTTAAAGCTTTAAAAATCCTCTTACCTTGATTGTTTTCGACTAGTTCAAAGACCAGGTGAATTGAGCAAGGAATTAAGGACAGTCTTTGAAACTCTTCGGTGGGTAGAATAGATTGCATTAGCTACTTTAGCTACAGGCCGATTTTGCTTTTCAAGTGTTGGAGACACTTTTTCATACCGCCTCGATACAAGTTTGACGGAGTTCAACATATTGTGCTGATTTTAAGAGCTTTATTGAGAAAAACGGTCCAATCAAGGGAAAGCTTCAATATTACGAGATAAAAATAGACCTAATGAGTGCCCATGGAGGTACACGACGGGCTTTATCGGCTTACAAAGAGATTGAACTTCAAGACTTTGCAAACCTAAAAACCTAAGAAATTAAATCTAAAAACACTGGAGTGAGTGAAATATTCTTAAATATTGCTATCTTTTGTCGACAATTGTTCCATTAGCATCGAAAATATGATTTTATTTTCCTATGGGGGAAGGGGAAGAGTTTTTCCCTTAGGCTTTTGCTAATTTAATCGAGGCATGCCATCTGGAAACCATTTCGTAGCTCATCAATGTTTTCTGACACGCGAACATTTTGTGGACTCAAAAAAATTCCCGGAATGAAAATATTATTTTTCATTTTTCATTTATAACAATTTTCCACAGTGACCTTTTTCAACCTTCCCAAAAAAATCAAAGATATTTTTTGTGAGAAAAAAATCTCTTGTGCCAATTGTTTAAATATTGTTTTTCCGTTGAAGGTGTTTACTCTAATCTGACTTTAACGTTTTTTGTTGATAAAAATGAAAAAATTTGCAACTCACTTTTTCAAGAGATTCTACCATCAACATACGTGGTATTCTCATGATCTCTCTTGTATTATTTATTTATTTAGCTAAGTAAAACATTCGACTGTTACTAATAATTTTCTGATAAAAATCTTACCCCGGCGCCGAGGTTAATCTACCTCACCTTTCTATCAACTATTGCAATCAAAATACGATTAGAAGTCGCTATAACTTAGAACGTCGATGGTTATCAGTACAACATGAAAATATCTCGGTGGGAAACGAGCTGTCTACTGACTTTCTGCGTATTCTTGTGAGAAAAATGCCAAAATTAAGTGATCATTCTAGTCTTTTTAATTGTTGTTTTCATGATATAAATTGTACACCTGCGTGTTTCCTTTCATTCATTCATTCGTTCGTTCGTTCATTCATTCATTCATTCATTCATTC